GTGTGTGTGTGTGTGTGTGTGTGTGTGTGTGTGTGTGTGTGACATTTCTGTCATTTCATTGTGTTGTAGAATCATAAAGTTTTTGTCTTGTGGTTTTGACACCAAACAGCTGCTGAAGTCATGCTGTTATCACTTCACTCTAAAGGTGTATGGTCTAATAATTATTATCAGAAAATGTTTCCAGATGTTAAGAAAAAAGTGTTTTTCCTGAGATCTCTTTGTGTTGTATTTCAGGTTTTGGTGCCAGCTAATCATGTCATTACAGCCGCAGTCATGTTTGGTGGTTTAACAGTGAACTGCTTTGCGAGCAGCAACTGTTACTGACAAAACATTTAGAATTCATGAGCAGGAACATCAAGTGTCAGCATGGCATTAAAAACCACGACAGCCCTGCTTTACACAACACAGCGAATGTGTTCAAACTGCAACAAGCACAACTGTTTCTTGCTGACAGTCCTTCATCCGATGTGTTTTTACCTCACATCAGCAGTTTTTTCTCTCTCTCTCTCTGCAGGAACAAATGCAAACACACATTTGGTATGTATGCAATTAGTTTTGCTAGTGGTTTGACTGGTTTTCTTGTTTGCACAAACAGTGGCACGCCCTTCAGGAACGCACATGCCCTGTCACCTCCTCAGGCCAGGTGCAGGGGTGGTGATGGGAGGAGGAGGAAGAGGAGGGGAGCAGTATTATCCCTGGGAGGGTGGAGCAAACGGGGAGGTKAATAAAGCAGATGAAGCATTTGAAGCTGGTATTGACATGCAGCTCTGAAGGCTGTGAGCACAGGTAAGAGCTCACTTTGTGATAGCTTTTTCTTTTTTATAATGTTCCAGTTTGGTAAAATGTATAAATCGKTCTGATTGTCACATTAGAAGTTAGTGACACGTTTACGTTCCTGAGAAACTTTGTTTCTTCATCACTGTTGGTTTTATTTAAATGCAATGCTGAACTCTGGCTGACGCAGGCAGGCAGCTGAACTGTTTCTTACTTATTAACAGAGTCTTGTCTAGAGTCCATTACCAATGCACACAATGAAATTTAACATTTATTGTGAAATACCTGAAATAAAACCTCATATTGTTGTTTTCTTGTTAGCAGAGTGCCTGACATTCCTGAGCTTGTCCAGCCAGAGGCAAAAGGAAAAACCTGTATTTCAAAAACAAGTAAATAAATAAACGTTGTGTTTGTTCTCTTGCAGCCATGGATGGTGTGTTGGAAGGCGCTGTGGTGTTGTGTTTGTGTAAACTGGCCTGCAGCCTTCCCTTCCTGCCATCGCTGGCTGCTTCCTGCAGTCCTGTCGGCTTCTGCTGCTGCTGCCTCCTGATCTTCACCGACTTCCTGTTTACAGGTGAGGACATGACCAGGTGTTCTGTCCACAGCAGGCCTCTAATGAAAGGGTTTCGCTGTCAGTTTATTCAGCCAAAGCCCCCGTTAAACCAGCTGAGTACTTAAAATACTAATGCTGTCAGAAACCTTTTAAAGAATAACCTGACACTGAAATGCTGTGTTTTGCTGACCTCCGGTGTTTCCCCTCCTTGCAGCCGTCTGTGGTTACAGGTGTGACAAAGTGAGTTTGTTTCTGACCACACCCGGCTAGTTAATTAATGAGATTAAACAAATCTAAAGCTTTCAGCTGCTGAGGGCATCAAAACTGTTGAATATAATAAGCTTCAGTTCCTTTTTATCCCTGTGAACGCCCACAACACTCAACAGGAACTACAGAGGAGGTGTGAGACGAGGATTTGTGCTCTTATCTTGAAAGGCTTGGCAGGGATCTCTGCAGCATTTGATCAGGTTTTGGCTGCTTTTTTTTTGCTAAATCCCTGAATGCAAATAATGGCATTGATAAATTAGTTTTTTTTTTAATTTTGCTTTAAGTCAAAGTAAAAATCTGTCATTTGATGAGATAAGAACAAAGGCATGCTCAGTAAGGATACAAAGGATGTTTTGAATATTATTATAACATTTTAAAATACAATTTTGCGGGGTTTTTTTTTCAGTTACGGAAAGCATGCATCTAAAACACTATTAATAATGATGATTAAATATGTTTGAATCTGAGTATAAAAAAGTAGAACAACTATCACAGTTTGCATTTCCTCCCAGCTTCTTTACTGTTTTTAGGAAAAGTCTCTAAGAGGAAGAGGTTTTATTTGGTGTAATCCCAAAAAGAAATAAACATATTAGTTATAGCTTTTATAATGAAACCTTAAGAAAATGAGACACACCTGTAAATGTCCCTGCCTGCAGTGTTGTATAAAGTACCTCAAAGTGATAAAGTACAAGTAGCTTATAAAAATACTTTGGTAAAAGTTAAAGTCTTCTATAAGAATATAACTTGATTAAAAGTCCTAAAATATCTGATTTTTTTTTTTTGTAATTAAGTATCAAAAGTAAATTTCTGTTACAAAATCTACTTAAAAGTATTGAGTAAAAGGGAGCGGTTAAGATTTTCCTGAATAACTTTTCTTGGGAGGTGATTTCTCAAAAAGTATTTTTTTCTAACGGCGTGCAGCTGTGATGGACAGTGTACAAAGTAATATGGTGTCAGAATTGTATAGATTTATACTTCTCATCCAACCACAATTAAATTCACTCTATCCAGGAGACACAATTTATCAGGATAGTATTTTTTAAATAAAAACCAACACAGAATAAAATAGGAGAAATTACTTTTTACTTAACTTTTTAAAGAAATGTAAGGAGTAGAAAGTACAGATAATTGCGTAAAAATGTAATGTGTAAAAGTAAAAAGTGTGCTGAAAAATAATTACTCAAAGTACAGATAACCAAAATTTCTACTTAAGTACAGTGACAAAGTATTTGTACTTTGTTACTCTGTCTGCCTGCGGGGTGGGCGCTCCTGGAAAACTCCTCCATTGTTGCATTGTTCAGATTTGAYTTTACTGAAGTAAACATTTAGTTTTTTCTGACAGTTCAGGCGTCTGTAAAACAGCAGGTGTAAAAATATTTTCAGGGTCAGATGCTGACGATCTGCTTTTGTTGCCACAGGTTTTCTGGGTCTCCTTTGCATCTTTGAGTCCTGGCTGACTGATCTGAGTCAATCGGGTGATGTCATCGCCCTGCGCTTCCTGCTCTTCCTCAGCCACACCTACGGCACCGTGCTGCTCCTGGTCACCTTTTTGATTGCTCTGGAGAGCCTGATCAGACTGCTGTGGCCCCACCTCGCTGCCGATCACGGCAGGCACAGACGGACGGCGGGCTCCGATGGACAGGGTGGGTGCGCCAAAGAGGTGGAGGAGACGGACAGGAGCGTGCCTCAGATTGTCGGCTTCCTCTGCTGCCTGTCCGTGTGGTTCGCTGCCGCCTTCAGTGTCAGGGGGCACTGGAAGCTGGAGGAAGCATGGGCCGCTCTTTGTTTGCACACAACCGACTCCCTTGTCAGATGTCTGCCCAGCGCTTTCAGCTCTTTGCCAATGAGTCTCTGCTTGAGTGTCCTTTTCCTCCTTGTCCTCCTCCTGACCATCAACACATGCCTGCTAAGACGATGCCAAGTCCCTGCACGGACGCAGAAAACAAATGTCGAGAAGCCGTGTAGCTGCTGCAGGACAAGCTACCGTCCAGTGTTGCCTGCACCACTCAGGCCTACGCATCTTGGGACACCAGTCTCAGAGCCAGAGGAAACGGAGAACAGCGGCATGGGCAACTCTACCTATTCCTGCAACGGCATGCAGATGTTGGTACGGCACCATGGAGACATTGTCCTCTTAAATTGTTTGTCTGATAATAGGAGCGAACAGGAGCACAGGAGGACAAAGACGGGTGTTTCTCGGACATTTGTCAGAGAGGAGCCCGAGGCCTCGCATCAGCGGTGTGGRTGGCGACTGTGGGGTTTTCCAAGCCCAGAGGAGAATGTAATAATGGGGTTAGTCAGTGTGCTTTTCATTTACACACTGCCCTTCAACCTCAGCGTGAATATTCTTCTGATCAGGACGATCGATTCCCTGCTGGACTGGAGTGTCAGATCTTTACTCCCATCTGCAGCAAATATCAGAGACACGTTAACTTCTCACAGTGTGACCCAAGTTTAAAAAAATGATGATTGTGTGGTAAAAGTGGAGTGGAAACTTACCTGAATGCTGACAGCAGGTATGCCTGTTAAYGCTGCTTTGAAAGGAGAATAAACACTGTTTAGCAGCCATTCAGATGCTTGGAATAATAACTGGAAACTGCAGAGAGGAGGCAGGTTGAGGCGTGCACGGACTCCAAACCTGAGTGGAGCAGATGGCTGGAAGGCATCTTCGGGCTGTTCGGAGCATCAGTTTCCTCAGATGTTTGTCTTCATACAACAGGTTACAAAACAGACCTCAGTGGTTCAGTGAGACGGTTTGCTATTTTGAAATTTATAAATACCGGGTGGAATAAATACCTTCAGAAATTCAAAGCAGCACACGGTTTTTTTTCTACTCCCAAAGATTCAAACTATTCAAGTACAAACTCTTGTCTGTTTGACCAAAACAGGTATTTAAAACTGTTAAGGCACCATTTTTTCATTATTATTGTTATTATTATTATTTTTTTTTTCTTTTCTACAGTTGATGAACTTGAATCAGAAAACTTAAATGTGACCGAAGCCAAAACGTTCCAGTTTTGTTGCATCAGTCTCAGAAACTTTGGGACTCGTCCTGCATTTTGGCAAATGATTTACCTCAACTCTAAAAGTCAACTTGAATGGATTTAAAAAAAAAAATTATACTCTTCATTTGCATTTCCTTTTGCATGTTGGCTACAGTCCCATGAACCTTTAAAATTTGGAATAATCTTGGCAACTGTGGTCAGAAGAACATGAAGCTGATGCAGAAGTTTTACTCTGATCGCCTCAAAAATACAAATTAATCAAATGTATAAAAAATGGCTTGTTTGGATATTTATCATTAACATTATATTAACATTGTTTGGCAAAAGGTTTCTGCAAAAACTTATTAAATAGTGCTTTCAAAAACCTCAACAGGTTCTTTACAACTGGATTTAAGGTGTTGGGGGATTTTATTGCCTTCATCATAAGAAATTAAATGTTGAATTTACTTAACCRAGTTATGTCAACAACTCAACTGAGCAGAGTCAATTCAAAGCAACTTGAATGCTTTGAATTTAGTCGAAACTTTCAGTGTTCAGACATGGTCGTGTTTAGGTTCACAATATCCAACGTGTCTTAGTTTGATGTTCTATTTACAGGGATTATCCTGCTACAACCCTTGACCTAATCTAAGAGGTTATCCAAACACGGTCCAGTCTTTTATTTGTGCACAGGAGGTCAGGGACATTCTGCTCTGCTTCCAACCTTTTTAAACTTAAAGAAATTCTGATCCAGTTTATTATGTTGAAGTTCACGTTTCAGGGAGCTCTGTCTTGTTTTGCACTCTCAGACCAACATTGTAAATAAGAAACTTCTTAATGTTTTGCCTGTTGAAATAAAGGTTAAATAAAAAAAAAATTAAATGTCTGTCCACTCCTGGTTCTGAAAACATTAGACTGTAGAAAACACACAAAAACATTCTAAATAAGCTGTGTCRTTATTTATGTTTCAATGTTTCTTATTTGTTATAAATGTGAAATCTTGAGGAGTAAAGAATTGTGAAAACTCTTCTTCTGATGATGAACAGTGTTTTCTTTGTTTTTAAGATTGATTTCTATTAWCATTGAAGTGAGATGCATTTTTYCCCCAAGTTGAAACCTGTTTTATGAACCACGTCAACATATTACTTTGTTTTTTTTCTTAAATAACTGGAGGAAATTTACCACCAAGTTCTTCACAAACAAAAGAGCTGCTTCCAGAACTTGCAGTATTGAAACTTGAGCATTTTTTTCTTCCCATCAGAAATCCCCTATCTGTGCAGTTTGAACTTCTTGTATTAAATTTTACAGGATGATTGGAGGGAAAAAACAAAACAAAAACCCTCCACAAAACTCATAGGAAAACTAATTTGGAAAGAAATTGCAAACGCTGTTAGCACCAAATAAATTTTTTATTATCTGCAAATAATAAGCCTCAGGTTTTCTCCTTTAAGTTGTCTTGTCAATAATCATTTCCATGGTGAAAGCTTTTTTTTTTCGACTTGCACCGGGCCAGTTCAACAATTTTTAAAATGGATGTATTTTGTAAACAAAAAAATCTTTTTAAAAGAGCAAAATATGTCTTTGTACAATACTAATTTATCATAAGTTTGTGCCTTTTCTGTAACMTAATAAAATGAGATGGAAACCGAGGAGAAACGGATGTGTGGCAGACGTGAAAGGACACAAATGAACAGCAGGTGGCGCTCTGCTACTGGACAGACCCTGAAGCTGGCTGCTCTGAGCTTTCAGCAGGTAACAGGAGCTGTAAGGATAATGTTTGCAGGCTGACTCACCTTTGATTGAGCCAGAGGGTTTCTGCTTTAGAAATGTACAGACTTGTGCAGACAAATGCTTCAGTTTACAGCTTAGCAAGATCACTTGAAAGGAAACAAGACTTTCTGTGACTTTATCACAGACAACACTGTAACAAAAGCGCTGACGTTCAATGGTTTTGTTTGAAAGGGGTATAAAATGACATTTGCAGGAATATGTAGCTCACCTTTCTCAGACTTAAAAAAATGTTCAAACAAATAAAAAAAAAAGATTTAAATTAAAGGCCTTGTATTCCTTGAAGGAATGCATATTGCCCACTGCTTTTCGTGGAGTTTTAGACTAAAATCATCTTTATTTATTTGGATCTCCGGGGAATGTCAGCATATAAACAGAGCGTTGTTACAAAAGCTAAAAACACAGACTGTAGAGAAGAATCTGATGTTTCTTTAGATTATTTTTAGTCRCTATCAAAAAGAGACAAAGAAGAGTTAAAGTTTAAATCATTTTGTTTTAATAAACAGAGTTTATTTTATTAAKGAGTTCCCCTTTGATGCCRAAAAACATACAGAATAGGGATAGTAACAATAATAATAAAGAGAAACATGAATACAGTGGTGTGAATGCCTTAAATGGCATTCACACAAATATGTCAGTTATWGGACAAAATGGGTRAAATCATGTGTACTATGCCAAAAAAAGATGCTTTCTTTGACTTGGTGTTTTTCTTGCTCCCTTTGAGGCCAGACTTTCTGTTTGCAGACTCTAGAAATCAGATACCAAAAAACAAACAAACAAAAAGTTTAGAAAAAAGTTACAATGTAATCCGTAACTATAATTTCAGTTTAGGTTAGGCACTTACTATTAGCTATTTTCGTGAGAAGTTCATCTCATGAGAGGGGCTGTTCATCATCGGTGAAAGAAGACTCATCTGCCTCGCTGACAAGTGACACAACATAAATTCATCAACTCCAGAAACATTTGTACAGATTTAATTTCAAACATTCAGATATGACAACTAACATAAAGTTTACCTGTTGACATCCAGTTGAATATTAAGGCTTTGCTGAGGTACGTCTTGATCCTGGCCCAAAAGGCACATGGCTGCATCTGTTGAATCCAAGTCCTTTTCCTGTAAATACATACACCTGCTGTTTAACAGGACAAAAATGACAGGACATGTGGAATATGTTACAGAAATAGGAATAAAACTAACRCTTACTTTAGTTTTGAGGAGAGTGYGTGCAGTGAGCAGCTCAGTTATCTTCTCCTCCACAAGACRCAGGTTTGACATCGTGTTTTCAGCGATGCCCACAGAGGAGTCCAGTTYATCCTCAACAACTGAGCAGTCACGGTCCATTTTAGAGATTCTGTTTATTGCTGAGAAACAGAAGAAACAACAATCACCTGCAATCGCATCACATTTGGTTTTGAGCGAGCTATATCCACCCTGAAGGTTAATCTCAGACAATATCTGACGATTGGTTCTTTGAAATGAATCCAGAGAGCGTTGACAGAGAGGAGAAGGTAGAATCAGAGAGGAGCACTGAGCGGACTCTGCCTGGTGGCATTAATCATTTTAATCGTCAAGTGCCAAAAAGTAATCGATTAATGTTTTTCTGACAATTAATTGCACACGATACGATTATGCCCAACCCTACTCTGTTGTCACATTTTGCACTTCATAACGTGCCACACAGGTGTGGACTGCATGCAGGCCAGTCTAATACTGCACTCTTTTACTGCAAAGCCACACTGCTGGAACATGTGCAGAATGTGGCTTGGCAATGTCTTGCTGAAATAAGCAGGATGTCCCTGAAAAAAGACGTGGCTTTGATGGCAGCATGTTGCACCACTTGTACTTCTCTCTCTGTTTTTCTCTCTGTCTCTATTTTCTCTTCACTTAAAAAAAAGTCACCGATGATGAAGAAAAAAATAAACTAATAATATGACCCCCCCCCACC